GTATTTTATTGTAACCACACCTGCATAGACGAAATTGTAAATTCAACGCATGTATTTGAAAGATAGTTTCGTGGGAGAGATTATCAAATTAATCAGTAACCACATCCGTTGAGACTAAATTGTTGAATCAACATTTTGATTCGAAAGACACTGCTTTGATAGACATTACCACCTTTATCGTAGTCACACCTGCCAAGACTAAGTGTATATTCGACGTTTGTATTTGAAATATGTTGCTATGGGAAACATTATTTTATTGCAACCATAACTGCCAAGACGAAAGTATATATTCGACGCTTGTATTTGAAATATGTTGCTATGGGAAACATTATTTTATTTTAACCACACCTGCCAAGACGAAAGTATATATTCGACGCTTGTATTTGAAATATGTTACTATGGGAAATATTATTTTATTGTAACCACATCTGCCAAGACGAAAGTGTATATTCGACGATTTTATTTGAAATATGTTGCTATGGGAAACATTATTTTATTTTAACCACACCTGCCAAGACGAAAGTGTAGATTCGACCTTTTTGTTTTGAAAGACGTTATCACTCCCATCGTAACTAGGTTTTAGCTTTCGTAAAACGTTTCAAGAATAATCCTATTAATATTTAACGACAATAGATTTCAAGATGCTTACCTGTTTTTAGGACTAACGTAATCAGTTTCAAATGAAAACAATTTATATAACATTGCGATCAGAGATATCATCAAATCAACGCTTTTCTTATTTTGTGTATGACACTCTTTGTCAGGACTTATTAAAAAGTAATAACATTAATATAAAAAAAAATCCTTAGAGAATACACGAACTCTAGAAGTTTGGATTAGTATTTACTTACTAAATATAACTAAGGCAGTTTTTTTCTTTCAAATGATTCATGGACATCCTTTCATTTCTCCCTATCAGAGAGAACAATAGCTTTAAGGTGCCAGATAAGGTGATTAGACCACACCCATTTTCAACGTCTCCTTTGGTAGTATCGGATATCATTAGATTAACTGCATCTGTAGGCAGAAGGTTGGGTGGAGAGGTAGTCTTCAAGTAAATCTGTGCATCACTTCATAATTGAAGGCAGAAGTGGTGTGAATACTGTAGTTTGTTGTTCTTTTATTTGGTTTTGGGATAAAATAATATTATGAAGCTATATTATAAAGTTTTCCAGCACTGGGATAAAGTGTTTTAGTTAGAAAGTCAACACAAGTGGATGAGTCATACCTCATGACTGGAAAATGAGTTACATTCAAACGTATATAACCACATGGAACTATAATTTTTATATATTTAACACTTATACAGATACAATATTTACTGAAATAAAGTTTCGGCCTAGCAAGATGTGGGGGCTTATAGTAGCTAATATGTAATTAAAACGCTGTTGAGGTAGAAACAGCAAATAGGAATGCTAAGGGACTAGCACGTGAAAACGCCATTAGCTTAGTGTAGCATTTCATTATGTTCCATGATATTACATTAAGAGCTTTAGCTTGTCATTCTTTGGCTGTGGTTATTGTATAGAAGTTGTGTTGGAAACTATATAAATCAGAAGTAAAATAATTACGAATACATTATTGAAGACAGTCTGGTATAATAACACACTGGCTAGAAATAATTATTGTTATAAATAAGAACACTAAAATATAAAATGATTAGATTGTAGAGAATCGTCATTTACGTACTCTTAACGATAGTTTCGATTGATTTGAATAGCTTGGAAATCAACAAAGATAATCACTTTTAAAAAAAAAGGACAAAAATTGTGTTCTCTTTAAATTATATAAGGGCATATAGTCATGCAAGTAAAAAAGTTTAAGGATTAGTTAAAATAAAACTTATTTAATTCGAAATATTCGTGTTTAATTATTTCAGTTCATATCATATTTCTTCAGTTATAACGGATTTCAGTTTATAGAACAACGTATATAGTTATAAATTTATAGAACGGAAATATGACGATTGTCGTTGGTTTTCTATGGGCTTATTTTTTCAATGGCCCCCCCAGTGGCACAGCGGTATGTCTGCGGACTTATAACGCTAGAAACTGGGTTTCGATACCCGTGGTGGGCAGAGCACAGATAGCCCTTTGTGTAGCTTTGTGCATAATTCCAAACAAACAATTTTTTCAATGATAAAGAATTTCAGTTTATAAAGCAATATGTAAAATCATAAGATTATAAGACGTAAACATGTCACAGTTGCCGTTGGTTTCCTATGAACTTATTTCTTCAATGATTAAGAATTTCAGTTCATAAAGCAAAATATATAATTATAAGATTATAAGATGTAGACATGTCACAATTGCCGTTGGTTTCCTATGAGCTTAAAACAATCATTCCCTGACAAGTATTACTCTAAAGTTTATGTTGTATGTAACGTTTATAGCGAAGTTTACCCATATAACGTTCCTACGT